TTACTGTTACTGGTTTATTTTAAAGTATACAACTAGGAATAGTCAAATGGAAGTGATCCATAGGTCAAGGGTCGAGGGTGGAGGACAGAGCTTCCATGCCCTCTCTGGGTATGCCATCTTCCTGGCATATCAGTGTGTTCACCAACTGAGAGATTCTCTGAATCTCTTAGTTAAGGTTTTTTTATAACCCTATCTCAAGCACCCACCTCTGCTGACATGTGGGGGTGGGGCTAAAATGTCTCACCCTTTAGTCAAGTGTTTGGTCTTTCTGGTGACCAACCTTTCTGAGGCTATCAGCTGCCCTCCCATACCTACCCCATATACTCAGATATGGTGCACAGGAGCTTGTTGTGAACAACAAAAGACATTCCTATCATTCAAGAAATTTCAAGGGTTTTAGGCCCTCTGTGCCGGGAACCCAGGACAAAGACCAAATTTATATGTTTAATTATATCACCCTCGTAATGAAAAAATGTATATAGACAGAATTTTAGATCTTAACTTTCAGCAGTTGCTGTGTGCCTGTGTCAATTATCTGGCCACAATTTAACTTCTCAGTATAGTGGCTTGTCTTTCTGAGCAGTACTGTTGTAGCTTGTATAAGACCATCATCATGACCGGGCGCAGTGGCTCATGCCTGTAATCCCAGCACTTCGGAAGGCTGAGGCGGGTGGATCACCTGAGTCAGGAGTTCGAGACCAGCCTGGCCAACATGGTGAAACCCCGTCTCTACTAAAAATACAAAAATTAGCCAGGCATGGTGGCACATCCCTGTAATCCCAGATACTTGGGAAGCTGAGGCAGGAGAATCACTTGAACCTGAGAGGTGAACCAAGATCGCGCCATTGTACTCCAGTCTGGGTGACATGAGTGAAACTCCGTCTCAAAACAAAACAAAACATCTGATACTGCCAATTCATCTTATACTAGTTGAGTTTAGGGAGTCCTTAGTACACAAAGGAGTTGTACTCCAGAAATTCATTTATTTTTTGAGTTTAAAATTTAGAGCACATTTTCTATGGAGACAGCGGGGTAAGTGGTAAATGTTTTTTATATCAGTCCATTGGCTTTGACAAAATAGGGAACTAAGTCCAAAAGAAGATCGGGTGTGTTTGAGTGTTGCGGATGAAGAGGTTCATGATTCCATTGAAAGATAGGGAAATGAGAGTGTGTTTGTTATTTGGGGTCAGTCTATAGATGTCTGAGGAAAGGTGTGTATTGTGGACTGAATTGTCCCCTCTGCCCCCCACAATTCATATGACAAAGCTCTGACCACTCATGTGACTCTATTTGGGGATAGTGCCCTTAAGGATGTAATCGAGGTTAAATAAAGTCAGATGAGGCCCTGATTCAATGACTGCTATCCTTAGAAGAAGAGAAAGATCCACAGGGAAAAGGCCGTCTGAGAACACAGCAAGAAGGTGGCCATCTGCAAGCCAAGGAGAGAGGCCTCAGGAAAAATTAAACCTGCTGGCACCTAGACTCCTTTCAGCCATCAGCGCTGTGAGAAAATACATTTTTGTTGTTTAAGCCATCCACTTTGTGATATTTCGTTGTGGCAGCCCTGGCAAACTTAATACAGCATGTTCCAATCCATACTCTAGGGGATACTGGTGTCTAGGAAATATTAATAGATCTTAAAGACAATTCTTTTTTTTTTTTTTGAGATGGAGTCTCTCTCTGCCACCCAGGCTGGAGTGCAGTGGCCGGATCTCGGCTCACTGCAAGCTCCGCCTCCCGGGTTTGCGCCATTCTCCTGCCTCAGCCTCCCGAGTAGCTGGGACTACAGGCGCCCGCCACCTCGCCCGGCTAATTTTTTGTATTTTTTAGTAGAGACAATTCTTAATACATTTGGCCAATAATCTATGATATATTCTTCATTTTAAGATTAACAATGCATACCCATGTATTAAACATTCCCAGAAGCCTTGAAGCAAAGAAATGTGTTTAATTTTTTTTTTCAGTTTTAACATTTCCCAAATACATTTATCTGTGGATCTTCCACACCCTCTCTTTTAAATGAAATGTATGTTTCCTATTAAGTCTCACTCATTTTAGAAGAAGAAAGTAGGTGGCAGGAGAGAAAGCCCCCCCTTTCTTTATCTCTATTGGAGATATGCCATGGTTTCATATTCCTGTATTTAAACAACATGTAGAATACCTCACTAGTAAATCCTAAGTATTAGATGCCCACCAGTATAAAATTGAGAAACAGAATAAGCAAAAGAGATATGATAGATGTCTTGTAGGTAAGATATAGGAGTTTTGACATCTTATTTTAACTTTTATTCAGAAAGTCATTGTGGTTGATTAGTTTTATCAATAATATGACTATAGTAACTACTAACTGTAGCTATTATAACTATAGAATAACTATCTTAAAAAAGATAATAATTTTTGACTTTGTTGTTTTAATTGAAGTTGAATTCATATAACATTAACCATTTTAAAGTGAACAGTTCAGTGACATTTAGTACATTCATTCACAATAATGTGTTACCACTACCTGTATCTTGTTCTAAAACATTTTCATCACCTCAAAATAAAATCCTGTACCCTTTAAGCAGTAACTTACCATTCTGCCTTCTCCTCAACCCCTGCCATATACCAGTTTGCTTTGTCTGTATGGATTTACCTCTGATATATAAATGTAATTATAAATTGTGATGTTTTCTATCTGGCATCTTCACTTACTATAATGTTTTTGAGGTTCACGCATGTTGTAGTATGTATCAGTACTTCATTCTTTTGATAGCTACGTAATACTCCATTGTATTTATATACCACAATTTGTTTATCTGTGCACCTCTTTGTGGTCATTTGGGTTACTTCCACTTTTTGGCTAATGTTACTAATGCTGTGAACATTCATGTAGAAGTATTTGTTTGAATACTTATTTCACTTCTTTCCGGTAGATATCTAAGAGTAGAATTACTCGGTCATACAGTAATTTGATGTTTCACTTTTTGAGGAATCACCAAACTGTTAAGCATAGTAACCAAACCATTATACATTCCTATGAGCAATATGCAAGGGTTCCAATTTTCACGTTTTCATTAGCACTTATTTTCCTTTTATAAAAAATTATTCATTCTAATCCATGTGAAGTAGTATTATTTTCTTTAGGACTAATGATGTGGAGCACCCTTTTTATGTGTTCATTGGCCATTTGTATATCTTCTTTGGAGAAATGTCTGTTCAGGCCTTTAGCCCATTTAAAAGTTGGGTTGTTTGTATCTTGTTTCTTGAGTTATGAGAATTTTTTATATATTCTGCATACCAGACTCTTATCAGATATATTATTTGCATATATTTTCTCTTATTCTATAGGTTGTCTTTTCACCTGATGATGTCCTTTAATGCATAAAAAATTTTAATTTTCACCAAGTCCAATTTATCTTTTTTTTTTCTTTTGCTCTTTATGCTTTTAGTGTTATATTTAAGAATGTAATGCCAAATCCCAGGTCATAAAGATTTACTTGTGTGTGTTCTAGGGTTCAACTCTTACATTTGGGTTATTGATCTTTTTTGAGTTAATTTTTGTATACAGTGTGATGTAAAGGTCCAACTTTATTCTTTTTCATGTGGATGTCCAGATTTCCCAGTACTATTTGATGAAGAGACTGTTCTTTCTCTGTTGCTGTTGTTGTTTTTAAATCTCTTTATTAAAAAGTTAGTCTAGTGAAGTAGTTAAGATCACTGGTTCAAGAAACAGAATGGTTGGATCCAACCAAATCTGGTGTTACTACTTGCTACTTATGTGGCTTTGGGCAAGCCACTTAACCTTCCTAACATTCAGTTTTCTTATATATAAAATAATAGAAACTCCATAGCATTATTATGAACATTAAATTGTGTAATGTCTGTAACTTAACACAATTTCTGACAATAAGAGATCAGCGTTGCCAAGAATTAACACTGATATCTGATCTTTTGAAGAAACCACTGTTTAGTAACAACTAACCCAGATTACAGTGCATCAGGCCTAGAGTAAAATTTTAATTCTTCAAAAGGTAGGTCTAAAGAATCCCAATGAATTCAGATAAATTAGAAAGATACTATAATTGAGAGGATACTTGCAGTATGTCAGAACATTTGTATGTTATTTACTCCTTACTGTCCTTTCTTATGAAAAAGAAAGCTGAGATTTCGAGTATCAACTAACTCTTCCAAGGTGTAATCATGATGATCAGGTGGCTGAGGTGAGATTCAAATCCAGATCTGCCTCATTGGAAAGTCTGGTGTTTCACTCTGTTAATACTTACTGCAGAAAACCAAACATATTTAATAAACGTGTAACCTGTCTTCCTTTCTGAATTTCATATAGTATTAAAGTAAGGAGACATGAAAAGGGTGTGTGTGTGTGACATATATATGTGCTATATAAAACATTGTATACTAATCAGTTCTCTAGGGGAATATTTTATTGTGATTTAATACTTTTGGCTAAATCTCAGACTGTAGCATATTTCCATTCACCTGCTATCAATTATTTATATTTTATTAATATTTATAATTCAGGTTTTAATACTTAACTAATTTTTTAGCATATTAAAGTAAAAAAAAAAAAATTGACATCTAGTAAATCTAAGGGTTTTTTTTTTTTTTTTTTTGGAGACGGAATTTCCCTCCTGTTGCCCGGGCTGGAGTGCTGGAGTACAATGGCATGATCTTGGCTCAACGCAGCCACCTCCCAGATTCAAGCTATTCTACCACAGCCTCCCGAGTAGCTGGGATTACAGGCATGTGCCACCACACCCAGTTAATTTTGTATTTTTAGTAGAGACGGCTTTTCTCCATGTTGGTCAGGCTGGTCTCGAACTCCTGACCTTAGGTGATCCACCCGCCTCCACCTCCCAAAGTGCTGGGATTACATGCGTGAGCCACCGTGCCCAGCCAATATAAGATTTTTAAAAATCATGATCTGTGAATCTGGTATTTTAAATGTTATTGAAAATTTTACAACCCATAAATTTAGGTTTCTTTTGTGATTCTCCTAGATGTAATAAAGGAACAGAATCGAGAGTTACGAGGTACACAGAGGGCTATAATCAGAGATCGAGCAGCTTTAGAGAAACAAGAAAAACAGCTGGTAAGTAGAACATTAAATTTCAGTTTAACTTTTCAAACAAATTTGGAAATTACTGTAGGAATAATTAGCTAACTAGGAAAAAGGCACATGGCAGGTGGCAAGTGATTTACTTAACTAAGAAATGGCAGTTAATACTTTTTGTATCTTCTGCTTACCTTTGTTTATTGTGTCATTCTGCTGAGTTTTATTGGGATTCTGTGTATTCTGTTGATTATAGAATCAAATTATTCTTCAGTTTGTGAGAGTCATGAGTATCTAGGAAGAAATATTGCTCAAGGCAGAACCACCGTCTTAGTTAACAACAAAGATAAAATAGTCATGGAAAACAAAGGTTATTTTAAAAATTACATTAACTCAGAGGAGTCTTGCTTGATATTTTAAAGATCATTGTGTTTTTGACAATGAATGTACTTTTATAATAGACTGATCTGCTTCATTTTTAAATATTCTTTATGCTATGTTTTTATGTGTATATTACCTCAAATCTTTAAACAATAGCTTTATTGAGGGATAATTGACATGCAATAAACTGTACATATTTCAGGTGTACAATTTGATAGGTTTTGACATATGTATAAACTCATGAAACCATTATTACAGTCAAGGTAATGAACATACCCATCTTCCCCAAAGTTTCCTTATGCCCCTGGAAATCCCTCCTACCCATCCCTGCCTGTCTCCCTTTTTCCTGATGAAGCAAATACTGATCTGTCACTGTAGATGAGTTTTCATTTCTAGAATTTTATGTAAATGGAATCATAGAATATCAACTCCTTTTTATGGCCTCTTTCACTCAGCTGATTATTTTGAGGTTAATCAGTGCTGTTTCATGCATTAGTGTTAATTACTTTTTGTTGATGAGTATTATTCAATTGTTTGGATATTTCACAATTTGTTTATCTATTTACTAGCCAGTGGACGTTTGGGTTGTTTCCAGGTATTGGTTGTTTGAATAAAGTTGCTTTAAACATTCAATCAAAGTTCTTGTAAACATGCTTTTAATTTTTCTTGGGTGTATTCCTGAGTGAGATTGCTGGGTCATAGGGTAAATGTATGTTTAACTGCTAAAAAATTAAAGTGCTGAAAAATTTGCAGAGTGCCCGTAATGTTTTCTCTTCCCATTAGTAATGTATGAAAGTTACAGTTGTTTCCCATACTTGGAGTTGACAGTCTTTAATTTTAGCCATTTTGTGGGTGTATAGTAGATTGTCATTTTAAATTTCATTTTCTTAATCACTAATGCTGTTGAACATCTTTTTATATACCTGTTTACTGTTTACTTACCTTTTTTGCCAGAGTGTCTATTCAAATATTTTACCTATTTTTTCATCAAATTGTTTTCTTTCTTAGTTACAATAGATTTTTATATATTGTGGAAACAAATGCTTTATCAAGTATATGTTGTGCAAATATTCTTTCCAAGTTCTTAACCTTGTCCTTCATTTTCCTAAGTGTCTTTTGAGGAATGAAAGGGTTTTTTTGGCTTATTTTGATCAAGTACAATTTTTTATTCTTTTATTCTTTTTTTTCAATGTTGGAGTTTCTTACAAATGTCAATTAGGTCAAATTGGTGATAGTGTTTTCTAAGTCTTCTGTATCATTGCAGATCTTCTGTCTACTTGTCACAATTAGAGTGTATGCGTAAGAGTGGAGTTGTTAATATTTCTCATCCTTTTTTCTCTAACTAGTACTTTTAGTGTACTGCTTACTTTTAGTGTAGTAGCTATGAGTGCCTAACCCAAAGTCAGTAATATTTTCTCCTGTGTTTTCTTCTAGAAATAATTCAGTTTTAGTTCTTCCATTTAAAACTGTGAACCATATTGAATTAAGTTTCAGTATGGTGTCAGGTAAGGGTGGAGGTTCACTTTTTGCATATGGAAGGTCAGTTGTTTCAACATAATTATTGCTGACACTTTCCCTTGTCATCTTTGTGGAAAATCAGTTGTCCAAACGTAGGCATCTTTCTGGGCTCTAGTCCATTGATTTATATGACTGTTTTTAAGCTAATACCATATTATTTTTGTTAAAAAAGGTTTAAAGTAAGTCTAAAAGTGAGCATTAATCTTTCCACTTCACACTTCTTTTTTTCTAATTGTTTTGGCTGTTTTAGGTGCTTTGCATATCTATAGGAACTTTAGAATACAAATCAGTTTCTACAAAAAAGATCAGATTTTGATTGGGATTACGTTGAATATGTACATATTAACATTGTGTCATAAGACATATTAACATAATGTTAATTAACGTTAACAGAAGAGATATTAACATTATGTCTTCTGACCTATGAAGGTATTATGTCTCTCCATTATGTAGATCCCTATTTATTTAGATCTTCAATTTTCCTCAGCAGTGTTTTGTACTTGTTGAAATGGTTGTGTGGTTTTCTTTTTTAGTCTGTCAATACAGTGAATTACTTTGATTATCAAAAGTTGAATCAACCTTTTGTTCCAGGCACACACCTCACTTGTTAATGATATATTTTTTTAATATATTTTCAGTTTGCTGAAATTTTAAGAATATCTGTATCTGTGTTCATAAAATATACTGATTTGTAGTTTTGTGTGTGTGTGTGTGTGTGTAGTGTAGGCAGCAGTGCAGTGTTTTTATTTGATTTTGATATCAGGGTAATAATGCCGGCCTAGTAATGCTGGCCTCATAGCATGAGTTGGCAAGGGTCCCATACTCTTTTCTTTACTGGAAGAGTTTGTATAGTTCTTCCTTAAATGTATGATAGGATTCATCAGTAAAGTCATATGTGAATGAAGATTTTCTTTGTAGGTAGATTATTGAACTATAAATTATTTTTTAAAATAGATATACAGTGGATTAGGTCATCTGTCTTATTGAATGATCTTGGTGGCTTTAGTCTGTCAAGTAACTTGTCCATTTGTATTACATTTTAAAATATACTGATATGTTGTTTATAATATTCCCTTACTATCCTTTAACATCTTTAGGATAAGAAGTGATGCCCTTCTTTGCTTTCTCAGTATTTGTAACTGTGTTCTCTCCCTCTCTCTGTCTGTCTCTTTCTCAGTTTTTTTGGTCATCAGCCTGGTTAGTAGTTAATCAATTTGGATTGATCTATAAACACACACACACACACACACACACAACACACACCACAAAACAGCTTTTTGCTTTTTGGTTTTCATTGATTTTCTGTATGGATTTTTTTTTTTTTTTTTTTGTGATGGAGTCTCATTTGTCACCAGTCCGGAGTGCAGTGGCGCCATCTCAGCTCCCTGCAACCTCTGCCTTCCGGGTTCAAGTGATTCTTCTGCCTCAGCCTCCCAAGTACCTGGGACTACAGGCGTGTGCCACCACGCCCAGCTAATTTTTTTGTATTTTTAGTTGAGACAGGGTTTCACCATGTTGGCCAGGATGGTCTCGATCTCTTGACCTCATTATCCACCCGCCTCGGCCTCCCAAAGTGCTGAGATTACAGGCGTGAGCCACCGTGCCTGGCCAGATTTTTCCTTCCTAGTTTGTATATTTATTTTCTTGTTTATCTTATTTCCTTACTTTGTGTTTCATTTGTACTTCTTTTTTCTATGTTATGTTGAAGCTTATGAAGTATTCATTTTTTTTCAAATGCCAACTTCAATGCTGTAAACTCTTCTAAGAGCAATTTTAATTGCAGCTCACAAATTTTTATGTTGCATTTTCACTTAAGTTCAAAATATTATTTCCTCTGTGCTTTTTTTCTTTAACCCATGACTTATTTAGAACTATTATTTTTAAATTTCCACTTATTTGTGATTTTCTTTTCATATTTTTCTTATGAATTTTGAGTTTCATTGTAGTTAGCATACTTTGTGTGATTCCAGTCCTTTGAAATTTATTGAGCCCTGTTTTCTGATGTAGAATATGGAATACTTTGGTGATTGTTTAGTGACACTTGTAAAGAATGTATATTCTGCTGTCAATGTTGGAGTTTCCTACAAATGTCAGTGAGGTCAAATTGGTGATAGTGTTTTTGAAGCCTTCTGTATCACTGCAGATTTTCTGTCTACTTGTAACAATTAGGCTTTATGCTCAAGAGTGGAGTTGCTGATATTTCTCATGCTAATTATACATTTGTCTATTTCTCCTTTCAGTTCTGTCCATTGTGTTTTATATATTTTGAATCACTTTGATTAGGTACATACACATTTAAGATTTTCCTGGTATTGATTCCCTTATATCATTATGAAATACCCCTTTCTGTTTCTGTAGTATTCCTCGTTCTCAAGTTTATTTCATCTCTATTAATATAGCCACTCTGGATTGGCAGGTTTTGATAAGTATGTGTATAGCGTATATTTTTCTGTCCTTTTACTTGACTTTGTTTTTGTATAAGTTGGTGTCTTCAGATAGCATATGGTTGGGTTTGTTTTCTTATTTAATCCGACAGTCTGTCTTATAATTGAGGTATAAAATGGACTATTTTATTTAATGTAATTGTATTATTAGTTTTAGATCTATCACCTTGCCCTTTATTGCTCTGTCCCACCAACTCTTTACTTGTATGTATGTTCTTTTTCTCTTGCCTTCTTTTGGATAGTCTTTTTTTTTAAATTTTCTTTTGGGCTCTACATGTGCACTGTTTTATAGATTTGCTTTGTATTCATGGATGAAGATACTAGTTCTGTCCTTTGCATGTAAACATGTAGACTAAATTTCCTTCTTAGATTACTCTTTTGCTCTATGACTTTATAATAGCTTCTTCCCCTCTTCATGATCGGGGAGAAAGGGTCTGTTATGTATATTAGATCCATTCTTCTGAAATAAATTATTGAGGACTACCCCTTAATGATTTTATTTTATTTTGTTTGTTTCTTCTCTTAGGAATTAGAAATTAAGAAAATGGCCAAGATTGGTAATAAGGAAGCTTGCAGAGTTTTAGCCAAACAACTCGTGCATCTACGGAAACAGAAGACGAGAACTTTTGCTGTAAGTTCAAAAGTTACTTCTATGTCTACACAAACAAAAGTGATGAATTCCCAAATGAAGATGGCTGGAGCAATGTCTACCACAGCAAAAGTAAGTGGGAGCTTTTATATTCATAGATTTATAATTTTATAAATGATATTTAAATATCAATATTGAAAGCAGATTTAAAAGCACCTTCTGGTATATATGTGGTATAAAATGTATGTAATTTTTAGTAAAATGAGTTATAATACTAGATAATCTAGGTAATTACTTCTAGATTCTTTATTGGTATGTTTTAATACAAAATTTATTGTTTGAGGACAATCCATTTTCTTTCTTTCCCTTTTTTTTTTTTTTTTTTTGAGACGGAGTCTTGCGCTGTCACACAGGCTAGAGTGCAGTGGCAAGATTTCGGCTCCCTGAAGCCTCCGCCTCCTGGGTTCAAGAGATTCTCCTGCCTCAGCCTCCTGAGTAGCTGGGATTACAGGCATGCACCACCACCACACCTGGCTAATTTTTGTATTTTTAGTGGAGATGAGGTTTCACATGTTGGCCAGGCTGGTCTCGAACTCCTGACCTCAGATGATTCGCCTGCCTCAGCCTCCCAAAGTGCTGGGATTACAGACGTGAGCCACTGCACCTGGCCAACAATTCCATTTTCTAAAGATCACATGTAGCTTCTAATTTTATAAAATTGACTTTTAAAAGTATTTGCTTTTTTCCCCTCAAATTGTCAGATGATTTTTGACCTTCTTATCTCATTGTATGTTGTGACTACCTTTGAGTGATAATTTCCTCTTGATTCATTTTTATGAATGTGTCAGAAGGTCACATGAATAGTAAGAAAGATTTATCAGAATGTTTGTCTAGAACTGATGTTTAACTTACTGCATACACACACAAACACATTTTTCTATATCTATAATTAGTGTTTTTACTGTAGAGTTTAAAGGACTCTGAATCTTTCAGTCATTTAATAAATAAAGCACTCCTTGATACTGTTAGTAATCAAAAGAGGCTAAGACAGAAGCTCTGCTTTCACAAATTTTATAGTTCAATTGGGGGAGCTTAAGATATGTCTCTAGGAACCTACCCACTATATGTCAGTCACGCTAAGCTTTATGAATTGCACAGACCTTTGAGTAGGGTGATCTAAAAGACATTGCATAAGACAGAGGTTTTAAGAATATCATTAGAGGTTAGATGTACAGAAGAGGGATTATGAATATGAACTGCAAAAGAAAAAAAAAGCTTCAGAGGAAAGTACAAGCTTTGTGATAGGGAAATGGTATACACGGGCAATTTTTTGTTATTCATAGTAGTTATGTCCCATGAAGTCGGGAACACTGAAATAGTGCATATTGAACCATTGCTCCCAGGGGAAATACTGAGTTATATTTCTGTGAGCCTTTGCCCACAACATTTTTTCATCACCTAATCTGTACCTAACTAACCTTGTGTTTCTGTTTGAAGATGCCATATATAATAGATAGTTGATTTGCTCATATTGAGCTCATGACTAATGGGACTATATCTCATTCCCCAACAAAGCTTATCTAACATATATTTTCTCCATAAAGCGCATCATGTCCTTCTTTCACTTAGGAACACTGGGCAGCATGTTAATACAATGTTTGGGGATCATTTTTTTATCAGTGAAATCACCAACAAAAAGTAGAAAAGTGAGAAAAATGTGACACTAAATAAACTGTGGAAAGGACACTTAATTTGCAGTAAGAGGGCAGAACATCAACTTGTTTGACCTCAGCTGGAAATGTGCATGTTGGGTGACTCAGATGTTTTGCTGCTTTGTAAATGTCCACAGATAAGCATTAAAACACTGCAGGTATTCATTTCAGGTTACAAATACATTTTAATGAGTAGGTAAATTCTCAAATGTGGAATCCACAAGTAAGGAGTGTTAACTGTAATTGCGTTTGAGACAGCAGAGCACATGAAAGTCGAATGCTGTACAAACTTAGAAGGAATAAATTCAATCTTTGATAGCAGAGTAGGGAGATTATAGTTAACAAAATATACTGTACTTGGGTGGTGGACACCCTAAACGCTCTGACTAGATCACTATGCATTATATGTGTGTAACAAAATTTTATATGTACCCAATACATTTGTGCAAATAAAGAGTAGAGTGCATCCATTTTGTGAAGTACAAAAAGTACAGTAACACATTATAATTTTTAAAATGAGAAAGTTTCAAGCCTCAAGCCGGGCATGGTGGCTCATGCCTGTAATCTCAGCACTTTGGGAGGTCAAGGCAGGCAGATCACTTGAGGCCAGGAGTTCAAGACCAGTCTGGCCAACATGGCAAAACCCCACCTCTACTAAAAATACAAAAATTAGCTGGGCATGGTGGTGGGCATCTGTAATCGCAGCTACTTGGGAGGCTGCGGCAGGAGAATTGCAGAAACCTGAGAGGCAAAGGTTGCAGTGAGCCGAGATCACACCGCTGCACTCCAGCCTGGGTGACAGAGAGAGACTCTGTCTCAAAAAAAAAGAAGAGAGAGAGAACATTTCAGTATACATTTTGTTTCTCAGTTACCTTATTCTTTTTGATTGCCTGATTTTTGAGACAGTCTTGCTCTGTTGCCCAGGCTGGAGTGCAATGGTGCAATCTTGGCTCACAGCAACCTCTGCCTCCCAGGTTCTAGTGATTTTCCTGCCACAGCCTCCTGAGTAGCTGGCATTGTGGGTGTGAGCCACTATGCCTCGCTAATTTTTGTATATTTAGTAGAGATGGGTTTTTACCGTGTTGGCTAGGCTAGTCTCAAACTCCTGGCCTCAAGTGGCAAGAGAAAACATAGCGCGTTTAAGGAATGAAAGATGTGTCTAGAGGGCAGTAGTGCAAAGTTTAATCTGTGTTAGGGCTCATAGGCAAATTATGGAATTTGACTTTTAGCACTTAAGAGCACTGGAAAGCCACTAGAGAGTTAGGTGGGCAGGGATGAGGGGAATGCAGTGTCAAACTTGGAAAGAATACTTTGACTGCAGCATTGCATGCAGTTGAGAAAGGACTGTTTGCTTCATATCTTTGAAATCAACGTGTTTTCTATTGTATGGCTTCTTTTAATATACTGAATTAGCTATATAATGCATACATATATTTTTATCATGCATATATTATGCATCATATATATAAAAATGCAGTCATGTCTGCCTTAACATTCTGAAAAATTCATCTTAGGCAATTTCGTCATTGTGCAAACATTTTGGAGTATACTTACATAAACCTAGGTGATATAGCCTACTACGCATCTAGGCTATATGGTATAGCCTGTTGGTCCTAGGCTACACTGTACTGAATTTCGTAGGCAGTTGTAACATAATGGTTTAAGTATCTATGTATCTAAACATAGCTAAACATAAGAAAGGTATAGTAAAAATGGAGTATTATAATCTTATGGGGCCACTGTCGTATATGCTGTGGGTCATTAACCAAAATGTAAGCACACAACACATGATTGTAAATAAATTTTGGTGATACTAGAGAACATTAATCTCTTAATGAAATGAGTTTTGAATGTATAATGTAAGAGAATTGTTTTCACATAGTTTTTCAAAACTCACATTTTTATATTTTTTTAAACCATGGTTTTAAATGTGTTAATAGATTAAGTATGTATGCTAGTATATCTTCTGATCTTTTTAAATTTAGACATTAAAAATGTTAATGAAAGTTTTTATAAAAATTAAATTTAAAAATTTATTGACATTACCTACTTGCCACATAAACAGGTAAATTTAATTTTCCTATTTGAATAGCAAAGGATTTTATGCTGATAATGTTTTTTATTACATAATTTCTTGCCTGCTGTTCAGATGAGATTTTCCACACTGGTCTTTATTATATAGATGTTAAGCAGATGGTTTCCAAATGACTATTTCATTTTTTTCTAGAATATTTAACACTCTATGTTTGATTACGGTAGGATGGCTATCTTTTAAAAGCCTGTCTATATTTGATGTGTTCCCTTTTGACTGACTTCATAGTAAAATTTTCAGAATTATGAAAGTAACATGAATCTTGTAAATACATTTAAAGACAATGCAGGCAGTTAACAAGAAGATGGATCCACAAAAGACATTACAAACAATGCAGAATTTCCAGAAGGAAAACATGAAAATGGAGATGACTGAAGAAATGAGTAAGTTTAATAAGTTATAATGAAATGTATAGTTTTCTTATCTTTAAATTAGACATTTATTTACTTTCAGTCTCATATTCTCATTCACGAAGGCAGAAATGATGAAACCAAAAATGACAGGCTCAAAATTCTATTTGTATTTAACTGAGGGAAAGGTATAAAATATGTTATGCCATATCTCTATTACACATTGGCTTTAGCAGTTTTAGTTTATCGATTACTATACCAAAACCAACTTGTGAGGTAAATAATTCTTCATGATATAAGTCAGGCAGTTTCAGAGTTATGTCGACTCTTCGGTGCTATAGAAGATTTGCCTATATTAGGGGTAGAGGTAATGGAGCTCTTTTTTTTTTTTTTTGGTTTTTATTCTCATTTTTTTTTCCCTCACACAAGAGTCTTCTAATATTTAGTTTTTGCCTTTTTGAATATAAACTAATTGCATGTTATGGTGGAAATGTATTTACAAAATCATTGTTTTGAAAGTATGTTTTCTAAATGTTTTACAACTATAAAACATGAAAAATAGAAAAAATAAATGTTTTACAACTGTGTAGGGATATACCAGTTTAGCTTTGCTTATCTGCTAGTATTTTAGTTTAACAGCATTTAATAACATTTAGTGTATAAAATAGTACCTAATTAAGTTGCCAGGGTGAATAAACTCATTATTATTCTAGTATTCTATTTCAGGACAGCTGTTTTTATTCGCGGTTGTAATGATATTGCCTGTTTATCTTTGACAGCTCCAAAGTTCTGTAGTTTTCACTTCAGGCCTTTAGTTTGAAAACTCTTGAGTTTTTTCAGGTTGTTGAAACATCATCAATCATATTTTAATGACTGAGAGAACTGTTTATTATATAAACTGTTATTTATATAATGATCATAGTATTGAACATGTGGTTTCCAATGCCAGTGATGGCAGTCTTTACCAGAGAAATTAACTTTTCCATTAAGCTATAATGAAAAGAATCAACAACCCTTACTTAATAGATATCTATAATACCTACTGCAGTTGTTCTCATTTGTATTTTAATACATTGCAAATTAGTCTGTAGTATAATAGTAGTTATTGATGGTTACTCATTTTTTTTAACAACCTAGTAAAATACACTAACAATATTTTCATCACAAAATAAATTCAAGGTGTAAATCAACATATCTTTTTCCAGTTGGAATTTATATTCTGCCCTGTTGCTCCAAAGCTTGTTCACATTTAAGTTAAGACACAAGATCTTTGGGAAATCTTACAGTATACCTGTGATGAGCATTATTACATTTTTTCTGAAAGCGTTCTTTGTTAGTCTGATTACACCTCTCTCATCTTTTTCTTCTATCTACTTCATTCATTTTTTTTTTTTTCTGCAACCACTTCTTTACTTATAAACTCCACATGACCTGGACTTATAAACTCTGCATGACCTGGACTTCACATTTCCCGTATTACTTTGCTAAGTTACATCTGAGTAACATACGGCTAAATTATTTTTTTCCAGGATCTTACCTCTGAGCATATTGATTAAATTCCTTCAGGGATTTTCTGCTTACTACAAGATAAAATCCCCAAATTTTAAATAAAAAACACGAAGGAAGTATTTAGGTTATGAAACATCTTCAGTTTATACCCTAGATGACTGCCTACCTTACGTGACATTTTCCAGGGAGTCATGGTGCATAAACCCATAGATTATAGGTTTGTTACTATAGCAGTCCTAAACCAGGACACCCTGGTACAAGCATTCCATAGACAAAGACTCTTGTAGTAAACATTAAGCCTGTTTTTCAGGAGCCACAGTTACCAACATGATTACAAGGAAATCAGACTAGGTTACCTGTCTTTCTTCTTCTGGGGACATTCGCCAGATACCAGGAGAGGAACAATTTTAGGCTAACTGCTGTAATTTTTTTTTTCTCCCAGACATTTTCCATTTATGTACCTTAAATAACAACCAAACAGAAGAACTTATTCTTTCTTGCTTGTGTCCCTGTTGCCTCACCATGACTTTGCCCAGGCCATTCCATTTTTGTATCTCTGTGTGGTTAAACCCTATGTATCCTTGCCAGATTACTTCACATGTTACTTCCTCAGTTGGATGTAATCTCCTTCTCTGAAACTTTGTAATCATTTATCTTTTCTCTTACCACAATCTGTTGAATATTTTTTCTTTTATACTCAAGTGTCAACTACCCGAAGTCTTTATTTTTCTCCGTCTATACACCCATTGTATTTGTATTGCATTTCAGGCACGAGGTGCCCAGTTTCAAAGATAAAAAAGACACAATCTCAATCCATCAAAAATTGTTTCCCCACAACTCAACATGATGCATTCTATACGGAGTGCTTTCAATAAATATTTTGGGGAGGGAAGAGAGGTAGGAAAGGTTGTAGCAGTAATAATCCTGTTAAATCGGACATCATTCTTTAGGCAAATTTATTAAAATACTGAATCTTAGATTTCTTTAGAATGTTCTACATGTATCTTGAATGTAAATTTAAGAGGTATAAAAATATGATTATAGATATAAAAAGAGTAAATTGTTTTCCAGATATTAACAGGGTATTTTATTCTTGCATATTCTTCCTCTACCAGCTTAATGAATACAATTTGTGAAATAATATTTAAAAGTCTTAAAAATGTGGCTGTGAATATCACATGGTTTTTGTCTATTAGATGTAATTTTTTAAAAAACAGAGTAGACTTATTTACTATAGGATAATTTGTGTTGAAATGAACATTATTCCAGATTTAATGGCTCAAATATGTATTTATCAATGTACTTCACTGACATTTTGAAGGATTTTTTTAGTTCACTGAATTTGCTTTCTATAATATACAAAATAGTTGAGCTAGACTGTAAATATATAAATCTAATCTGAAATTTGTTTGAAAGTAAATGCTTTGCTCCTTCTCCCTTATCCCCCAGTCAATGACACACTTGATGACATCTTTGACGGTTCTGATGATGAAGAAGAAAGCCAGGATATTGTGAATCAAGTTCTTGATGAAATTGGAATTGAAATTTCTGGAAAGGTATGAACATCATCTTTTCTTAGTTGGAAATAGTTTCTACCTACCACCTTTGTCACTTGTTTTGTTTTTACTGTTAGGTACATGTTTTTTATTTCTGTTTCAAAAGTAAATTAAAGAGACCTCTGTACAGCACATCCTGTTATGTCCTAGTCCAAATGTTTGCTAATGCACGTTTTTGTTTTTCTTTGTTTAATATAGATGGCCAAAGCTCCATCAGCTGCTGGAAGCTTACCATCTGCCTCTACTTCAAAGGCTACAATCTCAGATGAAGAGATTGAACGGCAACTCAAGGCTTTAGGAGTAGATTAGTCAAAAAAAGTCATAATATTTTGCTTACTTATAATTATGTAGTATAAACCAAGCACAGTGCAGATTTCTTTTACAAAACACATGTATTTTGCGGAAAAAAAAAAAATGGAGACTGTGAGTGAACAGTTGTTTCCTAACCCATGGCTATTTTGAATCTTTTGCCAAAGAATGACAATGATGCAAAAATGGAAACAGTTTGGATTTTAATTAGAACTATTTAGGAGTGATGATGTGTAAAAAGTTGACTTCTCTTTTGCATGGCACAGAGAAATTATATTCCTTACTTCATGTCAGTTTATGTTCTAAATCTTTTTCACTGAATATAAAAATCTTGTTAAATGCCGTTAGGCACCAACTTAAAGAGGGTTGTAAAAATATTAAAAGTATATCATTAATTCTGTATCTGTTGCTTGTCTTTTGTAAGTGATTATGTGTTATGACCATAGGCAGTTACAGCTGCCAAATTATTTTTAAATGGTCAAAAAGAAGAGTGCTATTTAAACATCTGTCTTAAACAAAAACTGTCATAGCTTTTCTTTTTCTTTTTCCGTTGGGAGAACATTCTAGTTGGTAAGTTTATTACCTTTCAAAATGTGCTTGGCACCTGCCTTAAATAGCACAGATCTATTATGCACATCTTTAAATTATTTCAGCTGGCAGAAAAGAATTACATTTAAAACCAAAAGCAAGGCCTCACTACAAAGATTATCCTGGCTCTTTCCTATCTCTGTGGGCCTAATTGAAATACGTACTCTTATTTTAGACACTCCCCTCTTAAAACAGACCAGGTTTTCCTGGTCTCGGAAGAGACCTATGATGACTTGTCCCTTTGATGCCATTACTCTGCATTGAATATAATTAGTAAAAATAGACAATGAATAAATAACACTTTATAGTAAGTAAACAATATATTTTGGCCATCTAAAAAGTGAGGATTATAATTATATGAATTATAATTGAAACTTTAATTTTGTTGAATGTGTATATTGAATCTTCTAAATTGAAGCCATTATTCTCAATTAAGTACTACAACTATGACAATGCTTGACCTACATTTTTAAAATAATTTCTTTTTTTGATAAATAAACCACAATTTTACCAGAAATTACTGTCTAAATGTGTATTAGCAGTATTTTTTAAGGTGAAATTGCCATGGTATCTAATGAATGTGTAGACAGAGAAAATGAAGGAGTGCCAGACTAGTTAGAATAGAAGTTAGGATTAGGTTAGTTTTGAAAAACGATGTTGTAATATATGGGTTCTAACACATCCTACCATGAAAACTGGAGGAGATATGTATAACCTGGTTAATTTGGGATGGTGGACATTTTGGGCTAATACTGACAAAATACATCTTAGGACTACTATACATGTGACACGGATTGCTAGGAGGAACGAAAAACTAAACTGTATAGTTTATATTCCGTAAACCATTTTATAATGTTCAAAGATTAGGTTTCGTTATTGGTAGTATTAAATACACAGTTTCTCTTAACAGTGATGGGTCAAAACATTTTACTGGATAATGGAATGTTTACCAGAACATGTTTTGATTCTTGGATGTACATAATAATGCCATCTAACTTATTTACTTTCTTGTTTACATGTGGGAGCTTTTGTTTTTAAAAATTATTTTGTTAAAAAATCTCAATAAAGATTTATTATTGTTGTCCTTTTCTTACCTTTTTTGCTCTTTTTGGTTGCTGCTGAAATTAAAAATTTTATTCTTATTTAGTAATTTTTCAAAAGAATGATCTTTATTATTTTCCCAGAAGAACAATTAGATAAACTCTGCTACTTACATTAAAAAAAAAAAACAAAACACAAAAACTATCTTTTTAAGAAATAATTGTACACGAGACTAATGTTTGTGAATGTAATAAGCCTAAGATTTGGTGGTTTCACATTAATAATTTTTTCTCAATATTCCCAGGGATTTAACATTTTTAAGTTTTATTTTTGAACATGTAAGTCCTAGTGACTTATTTCGTTTCAGTCAAACATGAACACCACAAAAGAATTTGCACATAAAAGACAGAGAGCTCGTCTGATTTGGCTACGTTTATAAAGTGTTGTGGTGGTAGTTTTCACAATCACTGTCACTATAAATTTGTAATGTTACCCTATCCTTTGCTAAAAAGAAAACAGTTACTTTTGAGCCCTTAAGGAATAAGAAATAAGGGCTTGGTTCTTATAGATTGAGCTTAATAAAAATACTGTTGTTTTGTTTTTTTTTTTAACTTGCTTTTTCTAACTTTTCTTTAGGCACACAAAAAAATTTAACAATTGTAATCAAACAAGAGGTTGCCATAGAAAGAATAGAAGAGTATCTCTGTTACTGAAAAGGATACAGCCCAAAGCCACATTTTGTTACCAAATGAAAAAGTTATTTATGGGGGAAATTTCAGAGTACCAGAGAAGTAGAATGTGATACGAAAATGTCAATACTAATGATAACACCTGTTAGAAAACATAAAATGATCATCTGTCAGATGATTATGTTGCACACACTGTACTGTGTGCTCTGAGGGCAGTATCTGGTTATTGCAAGAGCTAATGGAAAGGGGCTCAAGATTGTGACCCTATGGAACAGAGAGAGGAAGCTGTCAGCCTATGGGCTTTCCGTTGTTTGACTTGCACAGGGATGTATATTTTACTATTTGCATTTGAATGTCTTTAGAAAAAACCTGGTACTCTCTTTTTGGCCAAAATGCATTTCCTACCATCCTAGTTGCCATACTTCTCACCTGATCTCTGTGGGCCTAATTGAAATAGGTACTCTTATTTTAGACACTCCTCTGTTAAAACAGGAGTTTTAACATGTTAAAACAGACCAGGTTTTCCTGGTCTCAAAAGAGACCTGTGATGACTTGTCCCTTTGATGCCATTACTGTGCATGAAAAGGTGTTGGCAACTTCAGAAACAGATCAACCTTCCAATTTCCTCTCTGTAGAAGGTGAGGATTCAAAACCATTCTAAGCTTAGTTGTTTTAGTAGTTAGCTGGATTGGTGTTGCCTTAGAGGAAGCCTGAAGATTGTGAAGCCAGATTTCAGGTTCCCTATTGTTGGAACACCACATTCCCCCAACAATTTGAAAATACACACATCCCCCAACCATCCCCAAACACTGAAAATATTTCTTTGACTGGACAAATCCTTTCCACCTTTAGAGATGGAAAGGTAAATTGTATGAATGAGTTTATCAGCTACCTTTACTAGGTAAAGTTGAATGTACCAAACTAGTAGAATTGACAAACATCTTTCTTCCATTTTAATGGACAACTCTACTGAATTCCTGAAGACTTAAAGAGCTCACAAATATATAAGAGGGAAAGACTATGGCTAAAGTCAGCCTTTGTCATTTATTCCCCAAAGTATGAACGTACCAGTCTACACAGGGAATTATATGTTATTTGTTTAATTGAGGTTTAGCATTCTAAATGGCATTAACCATTTTCTGTTCTGAAAATTAATCAAAATGTATTAAAGTATTATTTTAATGTAGTTAGAAAGTAGTCTCAATACAAATGAGTTTTGTATAATACAAAACAATACAAATGAGTTACTGGTACTTACTGGTTGGGAAGGCCTCAGGAAACTTACAATCATGGTGGAAGGTACCTCTTTGCAGAGCGGCAGGAGAGCGAATGAGAGCCCACCTAAGGGGAAAGCCCCTTATAAGACCATCAGATCTCATGAGAACTAACTATTGTAAGAACAGGATGCGGGAAATCGTCCCCCTAATCTTCACTTGGTCCCTCCCACCACACGTGGGGATTATGGGAACTACAATTCAAGATGAGATTTGGGTAGGACACAGCCAAACCATATCAGTTAGCAAAGAATTGCTATTTCACTGGGCACAGTGGTTCATGCCTGTAATTCCAGCACTTTGGGAGGCTGAGGAGGGAGGATCGCTTAGGTCTAGGAGTTCAAGATCAGGCTGGGCAACATAGGGAGACCCCCGTCTCTACAAAAATTTTGAACATAACCAGGCATGGTAGCGTGGCAACTGTAGTCCCAGCTACTCAGGAGGCTGAGGTGGAGAGGCCAGGAGACTGAGGCTGCAGTGAACAATAATCATGCCACTGTACTCCAGCCTGGGTGACAGAGTGAGATTCCGTCTCAATAATAATAATAATAATAATAATTTGCTATTTCAATAGTAAGTGTTAAAATAATTTATTTTAGGGAAAAACATAGTTCCCAATACTGGTAGTGTCTAAACTTGAAAAGAATAACCTTATGGATGGATGTTTAATGATACTGATTATGATCTAAAATATATTGATGATGTAAGCATATATACATGCTTATTTTTGTTACATAAAGAGTAAACATTACCAGAGGAATCATATTTAAAATGCAAAACAATCACTAATCTAGATTTATACTGCATGACGTTTTATTTCTATTTGCAAGTTTCAAAGTGCATATATACATTTTTGCATATATACATATACATGTATGTATACATGATCTGGCTTTTAGCAAACTAAAGAATTCCTTCCCCAGTTAATGTGTTTTAAGTAGGCGAAGAAATATTGAGTTATCCAGAGAAGGAACTTGAATGGCTGTGTGGCTGAATAATTTGGAATTTACTCTTAAATAAGAATGTTGTATTTCATATCTTTTGGATGCTAAATGTGTGCTTAAGCATGGATGATTAGGCCACTGAAAGCTGTTTTGTTAGTTAAATGTCTATCTTTGTTAGTAATATATCAAATTTTACCCATCCAATTGATGGTGATTATGTATGAACATACATATATAGTCTATGTAGATTATGACCTATAAAAATGCTGGGTCTTTAATAATATCATAAAAAGAGACTGGACAGTATCATTTATTTTCTAAGCATTCTAATTCAACAATAAAATTTGGTCTAATTGTTACCACTTTTGTTATATTAAAATAAGTTAGATAAACATAGCCAGCAGATTCACATTCCAAATGCAAAAAAAAGTCACTATTCTAAGTTAATATCACATTACAGTTTGCTTCTACTAGCATGTTTCAAGGTAATGCATTCTTAAAATTTAAATAAATATGTTCTTTTCGATACAATTCTCAGAATTAAAATTAAAATCTCAATATGTCAAACATTTTTACAAATAGTAAATCAGATTCTAATCAATTATACCAAAAGTGATCATGTCTTGGTATAGAAACCTGGATGATTTTCCAGATTGTGAGATTTCAAAAACATTATAATTTAAAATTAGGTGATGCCGTTCACATTTGTAGCTATTGTTAACATTGCACTCCTTCATTTAACAAATATTGCATGCCTAATATGAGCAAGAACTTTCCCAAGTCCCAGAGAAATAACACCAAACAAGCCAGATCTCTTCCTGTCCCGTTGCAGCTTATAGAACTAATGGTTTGAGGCTCAAGGATCCATAAAGCATTCTTTTCTATGGCTACACATCAAAAAGCTAATATTTAGGAAGAATAAAAAGATCAAAAATTAATGTTTCTACAAATCTCTTTTGAAACAGTTCTACTTCAAAGTATCAATTCTGATTGAGGCTTATTCCTCAAAGGTAGTAATAAAACTATAAGACACCTCCGGCTCTAAGTTCAAAACTTTTAGTTCAGACAAACTAGTAGAGTTGGTAGAAAGCAGAACATTGGCTAATTAATTTTCGAATTGGATATTTCTGGCGATGTGCTTTACATATGTGTCATTACTGACTTAAATGTTAAAAAACTAATACACATATTTGGAAAAGGAATCTATAAACTCATATGCACACTCATATGTCAATGTGTGTGTGTGAGAGAGAGAGAGAAAACAGAGAGAGATCGTTTTATTACTGTTAATATATTTGGCTTAAAATGTATAATCTGGCTTCTGAGAATAATTATTTCAAGTAAATAACATCACTATAATTTAAATTGTTGGTTTCTTTTTTTAAAAAAAGTGGAAAAGCAGAGCTTCTGTAAAAGCTATTGATATAAAATGATTTTAAGTCAACCAAGTAATTTCTGTTTTTCTTGAGGAAGAGAAAGGAATGAAGCAGGAAAAAAAAAAGGCTATTATACAGTAGAAAAATCTTATCTGCACTCAAGATGCTCCTTAGAAATAGAAAATAAACTCTGATTCAGACTTGTTTTCAC